GTTGCACTCAACGCCTTAGGCCCTTAGCACTTGGGTGTTGAATTTTGCCTATTTCCTGTTTCTTTGCCTACAAGGCAGTCCAACTTTTCTGTGGTCGGGTTACTCAAATACCCCAGGCCTGAAATTCCTTCCCTCTCATTTGGGTTGTGACATTCTGAGCGCCTTTCAGGGATCAAGCTGCGCAGATGGAAAGCTTTCTTTTGGTTTGTTTGTTTCTGAGACTGAATCTTGCTGAGTCACTAAGTTGCCAGGCTGAGTTGGAGCTTATGATCCTCCTGCCTCAGCCTCCCAGAGTGCTGGCTACAGGTGTGCGCCATGGCACCCAGCTTTAGCTGGAAGGCTCTTTGCTAACTAAAAACCAAGATCCCTGTCAGCCCCGCGTCTGCTCCCCTTCGCAGTTCGATCCCCCTTCCCCTCCTTTGCTTCCCATTGCTCTTTAATTTTTCCCTGTACTCAGCTCTGTTCCTCTTTCCGTTCCACCTCCTATTTCGCCTTCCTTCTGCAGGTCAGAATGGCTCTCACAGGGGTGGGGCAATTTCCCTAAAACCAAGGCGGGTGTCGGCTCCCCTGCGGAGCCCTAGGAGAACTCATTTTTCCCTGGTGGCAGAGGCCCCATACCTGCGAGTTGGAGACCCGGGTGCATCTGGATCTCAAGGCAGCAGAGCCATCTGACCCCTGGCTGCCCCACACTGGGGAGGCTGATGCAGGAGGAGCACAGTGAGTTGGAGGCCAACCTGGGCTACATAGTGAGTTCAAGGCCAGCTTGACTACATAGAATTACCCTGTCTCAAAAGAAAAAAAAGTCTATTTTGGAATTATCTGCGGTCGTAATTAAAGTGTCATGTTCCCGGCGCTTAATGTTTCTTCTCCTACTTTCTTTAAAACTATGAAATCTGTTTTCTGTGCCAGGAAGACAATATCTAGTTTTTATCCCCTACTATTTGAACTGTTAACTGAGACAATAATTAAAGTCATTGACCTGAAATTAAACAAGCACGTACAAGTATCCTTCAGGCCACACTAATATTGTACTTGGTGTGCGTTCCCAGCTCAGGCGTTGAGATTTTCCCAAAGCCCGAAGCCCTTTCCGGGCACGCAGCTCCACCTCGAACTCAGAGATCCTGGCCGCAGCCGTTGCTTTATTAATCTGGTTTCAATTTTTGAAGTGTTTTGATTCACAGCTTATCTATGGGAACCAATCGTGGTTCTATCTTTAATATTCCAGAGGGAAGAGTTACTGAAAAAAAGTCAATTTAGCCTTCCGTCCTGCAGGCCAGCGCGAGTGTGTCAGCCAGAGCGGGGAGAGAGGGCGGCTCCGAGGCAGCCACTCAGGGCCTGTGCGTCTGTCAGCGCCGAGCCCGCCAAGGCCCCGACTGGGGCGGGAAGGGACGCGCTGCCAGACCGCAGGCTTGGGGCCCTCGGCCCCTTATCAGCCACCTGGGCCACAGCCAAGGGGCGAAACCCGTCCTGAAGTCACTGGGAACAGAGAGCCTGGAGAAGGACACTTCGTCCTGAGAGTGCGAAGCTGCGGGCGGCAGGAGGCCGTGACAGAAGAGGGGTGACGCACAAGGAGAAGGTTTCGTCCAGAAACAGAACCGGGGTGCCGCGTGGGACGCCCCATGGACGCAGCGGGAGGCGGGAGGCTTGAGGCTGACCTCATTTCAGAGGGCGATGAAAGGCTCTCACCTCCTGTGGTCACAGATCTTGGAGGGGTTGAGAATTCTGAGCTCTTCGACATTCTGCTGTGCTGGACACATTCCCACACCCCTTGTGAAAGATGTGTTTTCGACTGGGGGGCCACATTACAATGTCCTCTGAGTCCGACTGACCTCAGCCCAAAATGCCTCTGTGCCCAAGGCCTCACTTCCTTAACCTCGCACTGAAGAAGCACAGAGATTTGGTAGAACGGCCCTGAGACCCTTAACTTCGAGAGGCCCAAGCCAAGCCAGCCCGTCACCGAGGCACAGGGATGCTGTGTTTAAGAAGTGGGGTGCTTTTCCAGAGCACGCCTGCGAGGGGTTCACACCACCCTCTTCCCGAAGGCTCATCTCCACCTGCCCGCCCCTGGGACTCCGCTCGCTCCCTGTCCCGGCCTCCCTCAGCCCAGCAGAGACAGCGCAGCAGCCCCCAACACTCACACGGATGGGACTGCTCCACGCCGGGCCCTGAACCCCGCGCCCAGGGCCAGAACTGAGCCCGAGGCTGGGAAAGCGGTGAGCGCAGCCAGGTGAGCTCAGGAACGTCCCGGGCAGGGCTCGCGCTCCAGGAAGGAGGTTGGTTCTGTGTGGAAAGGGAAAGGGTTTGGAAAACGCTTCCAAAGACACTGACATCAGGTTCATTTCTGAAGAAAGCAGGCCCACCCAGGGAGTGCGGGGAGCCCAGGAAGAGGCCAGCGCCGGCCGGAGGGGCAGGCAGCACCAGCACCCGAGGCCCAGCCAGCCAAGGTGCAGCCAGGGAGTGCGTCTGTTTATGGACGCGGGAAGCTGGGATTCAGGTAATCCACATGCGCCTCGCTGCATTCTTCTTCCAGCTGGTGAGTTCTTCGACTCATTTAAAAACGCAGAAGCCATTCTTAGCTCGCAGGCCATGCAGAAGCTGGTGACAGGAGACATTTGGTTTTCCAACTCCTGCTGTGGATCGATCGAAGTGAATTAGAAGAGATGACAACAGACGCTGGGAAAATCATCTAACACTGAGAAATCACACAGGTCAGAACCACTGATGAGGCGAGAGGATGCCAGAGTTAGAAATTTTAAAACACGAATTTCAGAAGCAAAGACTAAACTAGAAGGAGCACGATATCAAACAAAATAGGGGATGCCTTAAGAGAAATAGTGAAAATGAGGAAACTTCTTCAAATAAAAAAGAAATGAAGAATTTAAAAAACTTCCAAAAAGAAATAAACATTGAAGATAGGCAAAGGAGATTGCCCAGGAATTCTTGAAGAAGAAATGAAATCAAAGAAAAACTGAATATGTAAAACTACCATTGTGAACATTTTGATGAATTTTTTGAAAAAGATTTGAAACTACAAATTGTAGCACGTCGCATTCCTGAGATTATCACCCCAAAATAACCAACTTACTAAAGTTTAAAGAAAAGAAAAACCTCATGTGGATCCTTGTGCTAGTTGGCTAAGGCTGCCCTGCAAACATACCTTACATCACTTGTGACTTAAATAACGACAGAAATGTGTTGCTCCCAGTTCTGGAGGCCGGAAGGCGTGGGCGGAGCTTGGTTTGTGTGAGGCACAGCTGCCGCCTTGGCCCCAGGACCTTGGGTGACAGCTGTTCCCGTCCCCGTCCTGCGCCTCTCTCTACCCAGACACCAGTGACAGTGGGACTTAGGGCTCTGGGACCTCCTGTAACCTTGAAATCTTCCCTCAGGCCAGGGGTTCGGCTTCAACGCAAGAATCTGGTGGACAGAATTCAGGGCACAACAGATGCTTTTCAAAAGCACGTGACATATAAGAAAAAAATTATGTGCCGGGCGTGGTGGCACATGCCTGTAATCCCAGCACTAGGGAGGCTGAGGCAGTTGTGAGTTCGAGACCAGCCTGGGCTACAAAGTGAGCTCCAGGTCAGCCTGAACTGCATATCGAGACCCTGTCTCAAAAAGACAAAAAAAAAAAAAA